CCCCAGAGTCTGGGGATGTGTCATTTGGGGTGGTCCAAAGATTTATTTGTGGGTGCAACCCTGCCCCAGTGTCTGCCTGTGTGATTGTCCTGGGGGCACCACACTTTGGAGCAGCTCGCACAAGAACCGTGCTTTGGACCAAAAAACAGGATGTATCTTCTTGAAGGGGAGAGTCCCCTGAACCTGGGGGTATATGATATGTGGTGTTCCAGACCTTATGATGGAGTTCAGAGCTGTTTCTGGATGAATTCATGAATAAGAATGAATAAGGAATGGATAAGGAACTGCGACTCCTGCCAACCTAGCAGTTCGAAAGCAAGAAATTGCAAGTAGATAAATAGGGACCACTTCGATGGGAAGGTAACAGCGTTCCGTGCACCTTGGTGTTTAGTCATGCCGGCCACATGACCACGGAAACGTCTTCGGACAGCGCTGGCTCTTCGGCTTTGACACAGAGATGAGCACCGCAACCCTAGAGTCGGATTCGACTGGCTTTCGAGCAAGGGAACCTTTACCTTTACTTTAAGGAACTGCGAATAAGGAACCAACTTCAGCCTCCTGGTGGAAAGGGGAAGCTGAAGCCGGTTTCTGCTTATCTTCTTCTCCGTGTGCCAGAGGAGGAGACAAGCAAGTAAACAGGCTGGGGGGACGATGGCAAGCTGGGCTGGATGTGGTACAGGGAGGCAAGCTGTGGCTGGCAGGTAAGAACAGTGAGAGAACCCGCAGATAACCAGAGGCAGTGGAGGGGAGGTGGAAAATGGGAGTTTGCCTCCCTGTAAGTAAGCCCTCACGAGTCCCCTTCCTGTACAGTATATTAACAATATTCCAAGCTGTAACTTAGGAGAGGAACAGCTTCCTGGGACCGATCCCATAACTCTCTCTAAAGGAGGGTCTGGCTTATTTCTCTCTTCTGCAAACTTCTAAAGGCTTGCTTGAGGGCCATAAGCATGTATCAAGCTTATCAAGTGCTATCTATTGTGCATCTATCACTACAGGGCGGATAAAGCATATCCAAAGGAGCATACAAACAGCCTGGCAAGGACAGAAATGAATTTTAACAGCTACTGTTTATGAGACAATTGCATTTTGAACACCGCAGTTTTCTTTCTTTCTTTTTTTTTTTTGAGGGGGGGAAATTGCATTTTTGTGTGTGTCAAAGAAATTTATTTAGGATATAAACATTCATAATCAACATTACATTTTTTACATCATCTAATACCACAGGACCACAACCAAGACAGAACCAACCCAAACACTCAGATGTGCAACACTACCACCCACTGGAAGGGATGGTTATTTAACCATTACAGATCTCCCCCTATTCTATCATTCCACTGAGTAAGGCCTAAAATTTCTTCTCATCTAATGACCCTTCCTTTGAAGTAAGTGGCTCTTACACTGGAGGAAGAGCCACTTGACTTTGAGGAAGGCTCTAAAGAATGGGAGAAGGAGCCTTGCAGGATAGTTGGACTCTCCTACCCCTACTTACTTGGGAGAACAATTGAGTGGCCTCCTCACCAATCCTTATCTTTGTCTTGTTATAAATCCGAATTCTTTCACCACCGGCTCTTATGTGAAATCTTAAATTGTTGAAGTTATGAATGCAATGAAGGATTTCTATGTGGAAAACTGAAAGATCTTTCTTGCAAGTCTAGTGCATCAACTAATCACCCCCCCCCCATTTAGTTCTGCACTCTGCCTTATAAAGGACCTGTGAATTCTAATTAGTACTAGAGACAGCTCTGAAGACCTACCGGCATCTATATTACCAAAGGGAGAACAGCCACGGCTGCTTTGCCACAGTGTGGTCTGATACAACTAGGGGCATTTGCAAGAAGCTTTCTGAATCCCAGTGTTAAGGCTGGCATATGCTGCAGATCTGATTTTACTTTATTCGGGTTTAACAGCCCATGAGCCACATTAAGAATGAAAAACAACAGCAAAGAAAAGTTTAGTCACATCAACCAGACTTCACAAAAGCCACTCAGAAAGATCTTAATTAGTGAGTATTCGAAGTAGCTTAATATTTTAACAACCACTTCACAAGAAATTTCTCCCTAGTAACGGTCTGTCTAGAACAAAAGAAAACGTGCAGTAACAAATTAACCATTGATAAGGAGCAATAACAAAAAAAGCTGTTCTCAAAGAATCCTAGCAAAATGCCCCTTCATCCGTGCTATGTGTAGTGCATTACAGCATGCATGCAGATCATCTACCATATCCTTTGCCTGCATCATATTTTGCTCTTTCTCCCCTCCCCACCCTTTTTGGTTTAACATGCAGCCTAAGGAGGAATTCTGTGAAACCTGAAAGCTAGGCCACAGCCAGTGTTCTCTCTAAGCCGAGTTAGTGTGAGCTAGTTCTCAGTTTTTTAGCTCCAGGTCACACATTTTTGTCTTAGCTCCGGAAGGATGGCTCCGGGCAAACTAATTTATGTAGTGGTCAATTGCTTGCTCACAACTTTAATGCCAGTAGCTCACAAAGTAGAATTTTTGCTCACAAGACTCCACAGCTTAGAGGGAGCATTGGAACTTTGTGATTTTCAGTTGGTCTTAATAAAAGGAGGGGAAGGAAAACAGCATGGTACAGCCTGATCTCATCAGATCTCGAAAGCTAAGCAGGGTTGGTAGGTAGACCACCAAGCAAGGCTCTGCAGAGGAAGGTAATAGCAAACCATCTCTGCTTCTCACTTTCCTTGAATGCCTCTTGCTGGGGTCACCTAAGTCAGCTGCAACTTGACGGCACATGTAATAAAGGCGCATTCTACTACCATTCATGTTTTAATTGCTGAGAGCACAATACACTTAAGATTGTTCCACTTTATTATATGCCAGTCGTATGACTTCATTTTTTTGCTTTTCTTTATAGTTTGCTTTAGAATCCCTAGCAAATAGTGTAGTTGAATAAGATTCCTGGAAGGACACACAGCACAGAATCTAAGAAAGGAATGGGGAACCTCTAGGAATGCTGCTCTCACCCACAAAGTCCAATAAAAATATCCAGGGAAATTTAATCTATTAATACAAATTAAATGGGGAGGGGCTGAGCAGTGGAGGAATGAGCAATTTTTAATGACCTCATGAGAGGCTCTTAATTTGACTCTGCTCAGTGTTTTCAGAAAGGAATGAGATTTTTCAAGCTGATGGTGATCTTCCATCGATTAGCTGTCATGGGCCCGAATACTAATTAAGGCATAAACTTTTCAACCTCCTTTAAAATCAGTAATACTAGAAGCAATGTTTGGAAAAAGTTCAGCCAGCTTCCCCAGGAGTTCTAGAAGTCATTATATGATCTTACAAGAAGAAGAGAGATCAAGGACGCTTTCCACAAATTACACTAAAACATGGGCCTTTATAAGGATGCTCTTTTTGTTTTGTTATGAAGGAACGGTACAACAGTTCTGTACCTTATGAACGTGGCATATAATACACGTGGGACATTTCCGCAGGGCTACTCCTGAGGAATCTTCTGATGGTTGCCTGCTATCTGATTCTTGTGCCTACATCTTAAAAGCTTTGCTTTATCAGTTGTCAATAAGCTTTTGGGAGGAAGAGTGACTCAGTAGTACAGCACATGATTTGCATGCAGAAGGGCTCAGTTTCAACCCTTGGCAGCAACTCCAGTTAGCAGATCTCAGATAACAAGTGTCGGAAAGACCTTTGAGCCTAACTTGATATTACATTATCCTTGCGTCTTCCCCCAAGCCTGCCATGAGGACTTTCAATCATACTCACCTTGCAAGTTCTGTGCTCCAAAATCAATTCTCAGGGATGTGCGGGACTAACTCAGATCAGAACTACAGTGTTCTGATAGAAGAAACGTCCACCTTGAGCCCTTTTCCTAACCTGAAATGGCCCTGGGGAGTTGCTATTTGCCCCATTGCAGAAACTTATGTATAGCCATCAGTACATGTAAGGCAAACAGTGGCTCCCTAAGGCTGTTTCAGAAATGGAAAGCCATACTGAAAGGGAAGAAGGGGCTGATTCAGGTGCCTGATCCAAATCAAGCTGCCATGAACCAGGGAGAGTTTCCTGCAATGATCTCTCTCTGATAGAAAGTAATGGTGGCAGAACACAAGGATAATGTAATATATAGCTTGGCTCTTTCGCTGCCTGAGATCTGGAAGAGCTGAAGCCAATCAGGGTAGACAGCACTGACCTAGATAAACCAATGGCCTGACTCGGTCTAAAGCATCTTCATCTGTGGAGGTCAGGCAGAACAGAAACTGAACAGTACTTGAAAATCTCTGTTGAACCTGAGCTGGAATGGAACGTTACAATGAATCCAGGTTGTCAGTTCAAAAGACGCTTCTGCACATTCACTGGCTCCAGTGAGAAGAGGTTATGAGAATGTAACCAGTTTTTTACACATTTCCCTTTCTGCTCTTTGGCCTCTTAGAAGACTGGGAAGCAGAGAGCAGAAACAAGGCCACACACTTTTAAGAATTAAGGCTGCAATCCACTTTAATTAAATAGGGTATATTAAAATATGTTAATAATAAATGTGTAAATTCTAGTTACGTCTAGAAGTAGACAAGCAAACCACAGTACTTGTGGGTTATGCCTGACACTTAATCTGTAACAAATTAGGCCTATTAACTTGCCCTGTCTTGTGAATCAGAATGGAATCAAGTCCTGGAGGCAGGCAGAAGGGGTTACTGAATCCTTCCCATCTTGAACGGGAAAAAATTTAATCATGGCTGAACACAAATCAGAAGGGCAGGCAATATTTAGTGGGGCAGATTCTCTATTTCAAGAGCATTTGGATGCCCATAAAGTAGGTCAGTGTGACATAACTGAGCAGATTCTTAGAACAGCAAATAACAACAACAACAACAACAATAATAAAAAGAACAACAACAACAATAATAAAAAGAACAACAACAACAACAATAATAATGACTGGCATTTCTTGTGAAAACAACACAAGACATTGAGGGAAAGGGTGGTGAAGGAAGAGAAGGGAGGAGCATCAACATCAACCCTCCCTGTTCCCCCTACCTGGGCAGGTGGCAGTATTATTGCACAGCCGTGTCTCCCGCAACAGCCCGCTGCACAGTGTTCCATAGGGTGACGAGACACAGGAGCGGGTCCGCACTTGGGTGCCCTGCCCACAGGTCAGTGAGCATACGCTCCACTGGGACCACTCCTCCGCTGCAGGGTCTCCTGTGAGAGAAACGGAGACAAACATGAAACAGAGGAAGGTTGGCTCGCTCATATCCAGAACAGTGGACCAGATTATTTCTGAATTATGAATTGGAGGCCACCATGAACCACACAATGGGAATGCCATGATCAAAATATTTTAAATACACAGAAGAGCACCCAGTGAACGCCGTTCTGCTGGGTATATGCTCTCAATGTTTGCAGTCCTGAATGCGTATGTTGATGCAGGGGGGAGACTGAATGTTCCGAGACCCAGTCAATAAGAAAGGTACTGGACTAGGTTTAGGAACTCTTTTGGCTGTTCTTCAGTGGCCTGTTCACACTTGCAGGTAATCACTGATGCTATAATAGTAAGCAACTAGTGTACATGTTTGAACCAGCCTTCACAGGCAGAATCTTATTAACATATTAGTGACAGGTGACTGGTACTCTACTGGAGTCATAACTGAACTGCCAATTACAGGCTGCATCCTTGAACACTAAAAAAGCAATGCTTTTCTAAAAACAACAACCCAGAGCTCTAAATTAGATTGCAAGCAAGCAGGGGACCCACAAGGACTTGTGGGGGGCATCTCATTTCCCCCTTCCCCCTTCCCCACTATTTCCTCTTTCTCTTCCTTGAAAGCCCCCATAATCTCTCCCTTCTTCCCCCAATGGCCAATCTGCCTTTAGCTGCCCTCTGTCTTCAGTTTTCCCTCCTTCCCTCCTCTAGCAGCTTTTTCTTGGGAAAACTCTGGTCAGATTTCAAAGTCCCCACTAAGCCTGGCCCAGTTGCATTGTAGGGAACCTGAAAGCACTTGCAGGGAGTACGTCATTTCCCCCTGTATCCTCACCCACCCCATTTCCTCTTTCCTTCCTCCTGGCAGCCCTTTCTCTGATTCCTTCTCTCCTTCCCAGCCAGCCATCAACCAACATTTTAACTACTGCCCCACCTTCAGCAATATTGATTATTTATTTACTTCATTATATCCTACTTTTCTTCATAATGGGGACCCAAAGCAGGTAATATCATTCTCTCCTCCATTTTATCCTCATCACAACTCTGTGAGTTAAGTTACACTGAGAGTGTGCGACTGGTTGAAAGTCATCAAGTGAGATCCCGCAGCAGACTGAGTGTCAAGCTGGGTGTTGGCCTCCCCTGAGCTCCCACCCACAGCTGTCCTAAGGAAGGGTAGGAAGGGACTGCTAAAGCCTTGGAATGGGAGCCACGGGGTTCCTTCAGTGCCATCAGCACCCCCTGCTAGGGCTGCATGTCTCTCTGGCACCGCTGCAGTCTCCATGCTCTTCCTCCCCATCTTCAGCATCCCACCCCTTTTATCCCTCCACACCACCCTCCACCACCCTTCTCCCGTCTCTCCTTTCCCAAGCTCCATTGGTCAGTGCCAAGGGCTTTTTCCCTGTCTTGGCCCCACCCCTGCGTGCCTGCCGCTCCCTGAGGACACCGAGGCCCAGCTGTGGATGGATCGATTGGGTGTTGGACAACTCTGCCTTCTCCATGTGGCTGGGGTGATCACTCACACCGGTAAGGGCCAGGCTCCCAGCCCCTCCTCTGCCTTCTCATTTTGGTGTGTCCCCCATCCGCAAGCTTGGCTCTCTCCCAAGGCTCTCGGGCCACCAGCCCTGTTCCCAATCTTGGGTTTGGCACCGTGGGGCCCCATGAGGTGAGGCATCATCAACATGAGGGCGGTAGGGCTATGATGGCTCGGACTCAGGCACGCCAGGTTGTGGTTCGCAGGGAGCCAGGTTATCTCATTCCAGCTCTCCCAGTGGCAGACTTGCTGCTACAGGAGTCTCCCTCTGGTCAGCCCTGATGAGAGGGGTTTGGTCCAGACCCGGATACAGAGGATTCGAACCTGGGTCTCCAGATCCTAGATTGAAATTCTAACCACTACACCACACTGGCTTTTGTGGAGTGGCTAGTGTTGAATAACAGCAAGCAGTCCATCCTGAGTGAGTCATGCAGGTGGAGGCTGGTCCACTTCAGATTTTTCTGCAAACCTGGGGCATTTTTCAGATTTGTAGAAAGTTCTATCTTGTCCATTCATGGCTCCAGTTTCAGGATTTAAGTACACTCAGATTTGGTTGGGTTGAGAATTAGATACATCAATATTTTGTGCATTGATGTTTTCACACTGTTGCTTTGGGACTGTGGGTCCTGTGTGAGGGAAGCCATTCTGCTGTGTAGCCAATCGTCCAACACCGTAACTTCCAGCTATCTGCTTGCATGTGCTGATATGGCAATTCACCAGTAGAATGGATTGCCTCATGGGAGAGATAGACGAGGAGGAGAAGGAGGCAGTGATAACTACTGGCCATTATTCTTGTGACAACTACTTGCCATTATTCATATTAACCATGGGCCAGGAACCTCCCACAATCAGAAAATTCTTGTCATCTGCTGTACCACCATTTTAATATTTATGCCATGTTTTTAAATGTTAATTTTATTGTACTAATTAATATATGTTGCATAAATGAAATGTTGTTACCCGCCCTGAGCCCATTCATGGGAAGGGCGGGCTATAAATATGAATAAACAAACAAATGAATAAGTAAATCACATTCTTATTTACCAGATCCTGAAGTACATTTGTGAAATAAGGATTTGTGAAATAAGGATTCAAGAATCACACTGGCTGTTCCTCGAAGCAGTAAGACTTTAAGCACTTTCTTAAAATGTGCCAGCAGCAGCTCCCTGCTTAGTGCAGGAATACTGCTGACTGCTCAGGTGCAAAAAACAGCACCGGCACACAAAATATATCCTGCCTTTAACAGCATACAAATCAATAATTTCCAAGTATGAAGGATCAAAATTTAAAAAAAAACAGGTACTGAGAGCAAGGAAATGTACGCCCCAAGCATGGTACTTGTAGGTTTCATGGCTTCACTACATAGGCTCACCTCCATGGCCTAGATCTGCAGTGTACTTTACACAGAAGGAAAGGACAGAATTTTAGCCTGTGCAACTCCAATCTGCAAGTGCAAGATCATATTTGGAAACACTCCCATACATAAAAAGGAGAGCATTTCCATGCCTTGCAACATCATTTGAAATAAGCAGTTTGTTTAGAAATATAGAGGTTAAGTAGGCATGAGGGAGGGATATTTCAAAAAGTGCAACCTTAAGTCCAATGAAACTCAACTCCCTCTCAACTCAGGAAAATCCAAACTGCTTCCCCCCCCAAATCCACTCAGTCCTGAGGCAGAAAAACATTTCTCTCCCACTCACTAATGGGGAGGGGGTGCTAGGGTTGCCAGGCAGTGCCAGGCAGGTAGGGCCTGTCAGCTGGCAGGAGGGCTGTAGGCAGGGTCATGGGGGGGCAGTGGTACATCAAGTGCAATGCTATGCCACTTTTTGTTAAAAAAAATGGAAATAACAAAGGGTAGGTCTAGGAATCACCAAAACATCTATAGTAAAACCATAGTTTCCTGTGATTCCTAAAACCACCCTGGAAGTGACAAGGGGTAGCTCTAGGATGTCTATGGTTTCTGGCAATTTTTAAAGCTACCCCTTGATCTCCTGCTTGGAGTGGTGGCTAGCAACAGGACCTGGGGATAGGGATCCCTCGCCCCCATCAGGTGCTTGGCAGGCCTAGGAGACAGTATAAATTTCCACATTAATCTCATGCTATAACCATGGCCTTTTTTTGTTAGATTCATCTAAATCATGTGACATAGCCATGCTCCATGCTGGGTTGGATCCAGCCAGCCTTTTCACTTATTCTCTTCCAATTCCCTCCTTACTACATTGGTTTTTTCCCCCAGGCAGATCCCATAATCCCCCAAGCAGCCTTTTTTTTTTTTGTTAAAGTGGATTTCCACTTCCTATTTTTACCAGCAGAAAAGCTGGTTGGATCCAACCTATTACTGAATGACTTCCCTCTGCTTTGTTGGCAACACAAAGGTAAAATGGGAGAAACAGAGTCAAAACGCAGGAGCTTAATGTATTCAGGGACATGACAGTCCTGTTCCATAAGGCAGCTGGGATTCAGCACAGCTCTGAGTAACAGCTCCTTTGGTGAAGAACAGCAGCTTTCCAAGACTTGTTTTATACAGGCCCTTTCTGCACCCGTCTTTTTCCTCTGTTTCTGAGCACATCTCAATCTTTCATTCTGCATTCCCTCCTGCTTTCACTGCTGCTTTGTGTTGGGGCTTCTTCTTGGTTCTTCATCCATTTCAGGGGGATCAGCACTCAAACCGCTTCCAGCACACAGATGCCCTGCACTTCCCAAAAGTGCTTTTGCCACGAACCTTCGTTCTGCTCCATTTTGAAATCGATACTACTATTTGAAGTTGAATTGTTTCTGCAAATATTTAAGCCTCGCCCACTGCCCTCCCCTGTTGCAGCCTCTTTCTCCTTTGGTCTATGTTAGGTGGCCAATTTACATGATAACAGGTTTCCTCATGGGCAATTGCTGAACATTTACATTTGTTTAGAGTCTGCAGTGGTTTGGAGGATGGGACAGCTACTGGGAAAACCAGTTTTTCAAGAAGCACTCCTAAGCCAAAACAGACTTTGATCACAAACATTTCCCTCAAAACAAAAATGGATGCGTGGATTGATGATTTGCATTTTTATTTGATACTAAGCATTGATTGTTGTATATTATCCCTGGGTTATTCCCATTACATAATGTTAGTGAACACTGTCCTGTTAACACTTAAATGCCTCATCCACTCAATGTCATTCTGATTTTCCTGGAAGAATTCCTCCCACCAGCCAGGGCTCTGTGAAAAGGAAGAGAGAACATGGGGTATTGAAGAGAAGGGAGAAGTATCGTGCTGCTTCCTTGGCTGCTCCTCCTAAGAGCAATCAGGGCTCAAAACACAGTTTCTTCTGTGAGTATGCAGAAAGCATAATCTGCAGAGACTTGAGTTTCCAGCCGGAACTCCAGCATAAAGGTCCGAAGAATAACTACATATGCAGAATGAACGGAAATGATTTGAATCAAAGGCATACCGCCTCAAGTTCTGGGGAAATCAGGAGTAAAGACTAAATG